ATAATTTATATATAATAAACACGTTAGATGAAACTCCCACCAGCCAAACTAATTACTAAAATGGAATTAAAGTTCAAGCAGCCGAAAGAAATTTAAAGACCAGGGCTTTTAAAATGTTTTTTGCCCCCCTTTTTAAGCAATTCTGATTTTTATGCTATACTAGAATTCAAGATTTAGTAGATTCAAGATTTAGATACATAGCTGTATCACTGTAACAGGAAAAAAGATTTTTACTAATAGCCTTTTAAAAACTTTATTATTTTTTCTTTTCTATTGAGAAGTATCTACTTTAAACCAAAAAGCCTCAAGTGTCATACGGTAACTACTAGAAACGCAAAAAAACAAGTCACTGCTGATCTGGACAGGACTTTAAATTAGCAGCCAAAAAAAAGATTAAAAGTTATAAATAATTTTTTATCAGCTGTGTTCAAAAGTCTTTGCTACACTTGATATATCTGCTTCTATGCAATTAAAAGTATAAGCTCACCATTTCTGAACCAAAAACCTTTTAACACCCCCTCTCCCTTTTCCCCCCTTACTGAAAGTATCTAACCGCTTTGATTCTCTTCCTGTTCTGATAACTTTTGCAAAAGGAGGGCAAAACACTCCATCCTGCCTTAACCTTCAATTATCATTGTTTAAAAAAAAAAAGAAGTTCGAAGCAGGGTTTAGACTTACCTTCCTCATCCACCTCCAGCCATTGGTGGTGGACTGGGGCCTCCACCCCAGTGATTTATTCGACCCATCCTTCGGCGAGGATGTGCTGGAGGCCTGAAAATCAAGCAAGGAAAACAATATCTATTTAGTCGGCATTAAATTGTTAAACTAGAAATATAATAACGCGGTCTCTAAATGATAGTAATTAGAAAGTTAGAATCTCTGTAAAAGTTGTTTGGGTTTTGTGTGAAAAGCAGTAAAAAACCCCACCCCTAATCCCACTTTCACAAAAATTCTCTTATGCAAATTGTTCTCGTTACCCCTGTCACACCAGACAGAGCTAGCTAAGGGTTTTACACAGTCCTTTTACAAAAAAGTTAGGCAACCCATTAAGAACAAAGAAACACACTAACTATAGACAGTGTTTATAGAATACTCTAACAAAGTATTTTGCTTTATCTGTAGGTAATCTAATACATTAAATGACTGATTTAATACAAATCAAATGCTGAGTATAAGCAGTGTAACAAAAGAAGAATTTCAACAAAGATACGTATTTTCAACAAAGATATGTATTTTCTGTTAGGCATGTCTGAAAAATAGTTTCAGTGAGGGTTAGACTATACTGTTAGCACAGCTGTCCAACGCTATGTATTGTTATCAACAGGTTTCAGACAAAATACTGCAAATGAACAACATTTTAGTCCTCTTAACATGACCTGATTCAATGCAAATCACAACTGTAATCTGAATAATTATGTGATTTTGCTAAGAGAGGAAAAAAAATCAGAACTAGTGTGAATATGAAAAAATACCCTCTTCCGTCACTGTATCCTGAATAGGAGGAAGATGTGTAGCCTCTTCGTCTCAAATCTGGTTGAATAATGCTCTGGAAACTGAAAAATAGAACATGAGTTAGGTGAGTTGATTGCTAGATACAGATTTGGAATTTTTGGATTGCAAGATAAGAAATGGCCTGAAGAACAGCAAGTAGTGTTCAGGAGTGAATAGTGTAACTTCTCAAGATCATTGTTGTTTAATACATCTTGGCAATTTTTCTCCTACATATGAAGAGAAAATCTGAAGTAATTCCAAATTACAGTGAGGCTCAAACTATAAAACCTAGTTTTCTGGTAAATATGCAATAAATAGGCAAGAAATGCATGAAGTATAAACCTGTAACAGAAATAATGAATAACTTTTCTTTTAACTGGCTTTGATCTGAGGCCATAAATTTGTGATTGTGCTGAGTGATTATTTTTACATAGCCAGAATCTATTGCCACCAGTAAAAATTCCCCAAATAGTATCTTCATTATTTGATCAGCTATTAGAAACTAGCTGTTTAACATAAGTATATGCTTTTTATTTTTGCAGTATTAAAATGGAAGAAATGTAAGAAAACTCGTTTGAGCTGCCAGTAAGTTAGCATCACTTTTCATATACTTTTCTTTTTATTAAATATACTATAGCGCTTAATAACCAAAGCCACACAGTCATAGTAAAGCATTCATGTATGTTTTGGGGCCAGTAAATATGGAATGCTGAAGAGTAAATCTAATATTTTTACTGTTGTTTCACTGATAGCACTGAGTAGCTTCTACCTATGGCAAATCTACAATAAAGCTCACCAAAAGAGTTAATTTCTACTTACAACAAAACCACAAAATCTGCTATTGACCAGAAGAAATCTGTTATAGATGACAAACGCCAAGGAGCCCGACTCTGGTTATCCAAAACTTGTCCTGTAACATATCAAGATACAAACCACCCAGCAACGTTTAGCATGTGACACTGTACAGTGCAGTACACAAACAGGCATCTGCTGAGTCTAGAATTTGCAAAGGGGATGGAGAAACTACCCTTCGTGGGCAAAGGCAGCAAGTTTCATTCCCTACAGGGTACTGCCCAAGTCCTCCAAACAACGGGATCCCCACCACCAGACAGACACGGGGTCCAGGTACACCGACAACCCTCCCCCCCGCCCCGTACGCGGTTAAGCTGCTGCTCTGTTACGCGCCCGGTGTACGCAGAACACGCTTGGACTTTTCAAAGTCCTTAAAAACTGTTCAGAAGCACGCCAGGCTCAGACCCAGGCCCCAGAGAAGGGCGTGGACGTGGGGCTCGCCCCGGACACCGTGCTGGGCTCTCCCGGGCACCGGCGGAGCGCGCTGGCAGTGCTCTGACCGGCATAGGCCCGATGCGCCCCAGCCGCCCCCCGCT